AGAGGCCTGGCTGCCAGATAAGAGGGTGCAGGGTGCGTGGGGCAGCTCCACACCCCTCACCCCTGCCCTAGCTTGATTTTTAACTGTGTGCCTCACCCCAAAACTAGGGCTTATTTTTGGGGTAGGGCTTATATTAGGCCCACCCTCAAAAATCAAGCTAGGCCTTATTTTGGGGGTAGGCCTCGCTTTCGGGGAAACACGGTATTAAAATAAATATTGCTCCTCAACCGACTTATGTTTTAACAGGTATTCCAATGCTAATTCCAAACAGATTTTTCCTTCAGACGGAAAAACCATTGAGGAAATGTACTGCATATGGGAAAAACAGGCTGAAAATTTCATTGGCTAAATTCAGATTATCTTTTGGAGATGGCTGATTCAGTTTATCAAAAATATAACTGGATTCCTAACTTATGGTCCACATTTATCTGTAATTACAATTTAACATACAATTTATGGCGGGCCTCATTAGAAAGCTATCCTTTCCACTAACATCCTGGCATTTACTTGGGTTGATATGCAGCAAAAAAGCCTTTCACTTCCTGGACTGAAAGCAGCTAGACAAGTTTGGGCTCTTTTGAGCTGTAAACTGGATTCTGAGGTATTTAATTTTACAAAATAAGTCAGCCTTAAAAATAGGTTGCAAGATGTTCTAGGGGTGGAAATTGGAACAATTTTAAATAAACTACTCTGTAATGATTATTTTAAGGGTGTACCTTAACTTAAGATAAAAGTTTGCTTGCCTGATTCACAAGAGTGGCAATATAATCAACTCAAGCATGTTTGGACAGCTCAGTTTGGATTAGATGCTTTAGCTGCTTCAAAGAAATTGAGATGCTTTCTCTCTTTCCTCAAGTGTGTAACCAGCATTACAATACATGTTGACTCTTTTAATATCCTGGATGGGCCCTTCTACTGCCCTGGTTGCTGTAAACTCCTGAGCTCCAGACATTCCAACCTCAAGATGGCTATGGACACCCGCCTCCCCGCTGAAGTATGATCCTCCTAATCCATACTACCAAGTATTAGGTATGTTTGACAGCAGAAGTTATTTATGAAAATAATACAGGTGGGCTTTAAATACAGGTAGTCCTCACCTTTGGCCACCTAATGAGAAGGAAGGACTCACTGGAGAAGAGCCTAATGCTGGGAAAGATAGAGGGCAATAGAAGAAGGGGACGACAGAGAATGAGGTGGCTGGATGGAGTCACTGAAGCAGTAGGTGTGAACTTAAATGGACTCCAGAAGATGGTAAAGGACAGGAAGGCCTGGAGGAACATTGTCTATGGGGTCGCGATGGATCAGACATGACTTCGCAACTAACAACAAGTCCTCAACTTACAACAGTTTCATTCAGCAGTGAAAAAAGTGATGTATGACTGTTTTTCACATTTACGACCATTCTACCATCCCCATGATCAGGATAAAAAATTCAGACCTTGGCAACTGACTCATATTTATGACGGCTGCAGTGAGCCGTGGTCATGTAACCACCTTTTCTGGACCTTCTGACAAGCCAAGTCAATGAGGAAACCAGATTCACTTAATGATTGTGTTACTAACTTAAAACTGCAGTGATTCACTTAACAACTGTAGCAAGAAAGGTGGTATAGTGGGGCAAATTTTGGGCTCTGTTGTGATTGTACGGCAAGGACTACTCGGTAAATTAAAGCTCCAAGACCAATTCTGTAAGGCAGGGGTCCCCAACCCCCGGTCCATGGACCAGTACCGGGACGCGGCATGCCAGCAACCGGTCTGCACAAACAAGCAAAGCCCCATCTGCGAGATGCAGGCAGCACACAAAACCACGCCCCCTCTGGTCCATGGAAAAACCTTTCTCCACGGAACCGGTCCCTGGTGCCCAAAAGGTTGGGGACCTCTGCTGTAAGGGATTCCATTTGGCAGCAAGGAGGGTAGGTGGCATACGGTCCTCAGCCTATGCCTTGCCCCACACATTCCTCAGAATTTGCCAATGGCTGGATACTTTCATTTTGACATATACTGTATCTATTTAAACTCTAAAACAAATCTATTTTGATTGCAAATTATGCTTATGCATATAAAACAGTGAAAGTCAATATTACTTGCATGTTTTTTCATCTTTGTTTATATTTGACTAATATACATATTTTGCTAGCAGATTCTTTATATGCTTTCCTCTTCCACCATAATGTTAAGGTTTTGTTTTGCAATCCGCACTCTAGGACTAGGTCAATGTATATTTTCTTGTTTGAAGAACCATTTTACAAAATTATAAAAAGAGCAGACACTACACTCTAGTTCAACTACTGACATGAGAAATTGTACATCTGAAATGTGTGAAATACTGCTCCATCACCATCAGGTTCCAATTAAAATTCTTTCATCTTACTCAATTAATCTGGAAGTATTCACTTTGAATTCACTGCCTATAACATCTCATACTACTTTGTTCACAATAAAATTTGGTTTATAGGAACTTGCCAATTAAGCGAATGTCTGCAAAATTAAAGTCTTACTGGTTTATGCTGCCCTCTGTTGTTCAACAACCATAATATTCAGGAAAATACAGTTAGATCAGATAGTCACTAGTCTGAAATGGTATAGGTTCTCCTGCTTGAGCAGGGGGCTGGACTAGAAGACCTCCAAGGTCCCTTCCAGCTCTATCCTATTCATCTTGCTTAATGACTACCCTGTTAAGTGACTGTTCGAAGTTATAACAATGCTGAAAAAGTAACTTTAGGACCAGTCTTTGCATTTATGTCCATCTCAGCATCCTTGTGGTCAGCATTTTGCAACTGGTAGGCATTTACAATGGTCCCAATGTCATGTGATTTGTGTGCTCCATAAATGGCTTCTGACAAGCAGAATCAATGGAGAAGCTGGCAATAAAATTCCAAGTTGCAGTCATGGGATGCCTTGCTTAATGACCCACAGTGACTCCTTTAATGACTGAATGGGAAGTGACAGATCTGTTGAGGTCATGTGATGATTCATTTAGTTACCATGTCACTTAGCAAAGGATTTGACAGTCCCAGTTATGGTCACTAAGTGAGGACTACCTGTAAAACTGAAAGTTAAATATGGGACTACATTAACCAAAAAAAGTAATGTTTTAACTTATTTCTACAAGCCATCATTATGACATTTTCAACATACTACATGATGGTAGCAACTCAACTACTTAACTAGATAATAACACCAAAATATCAAGAGAGAGCTGGCTAGAAAAGAAGATATACTCCTTTATAATACATCTTCTAAAGTTAATAGAAATCAAATAGCCTTTTTTGAATGCCAGTAATAACCTACTTAATTGTAAATTAACTATACAAAACAATGAGATCTGTGTTATAACATAGGAACCATGTGTAGTAGCATCAAAGTTAACTTATTTAGATCAATATACTTTGGTCCAACCCCTGGTAGTTTGTAATATCTGACTGATCTTGGTGAGCTTTAAACTCAGGATGGTCAAACATGGCTAATGGTGGCAACCTGAACATATCAGGGCTGTAGGAGAGATTCGGTCTGAACAAATCCTGGAGGGTAAGATAAATAATTTCTAAACTCATGTCAAAGAAACAACATAAAATGTCCATTAGGTAAAAAGGAATACAATCCAGAAACAAACACGATTAATAAAGCTCATTATCTACATTAATTCATTTCAAATAAGCCACAAAGTAAATATTTATTTATTTATTTAGAAATTTTATTTGTTGCCTGTCACACATCCAATGACTCTGGGTGGCTATATACTATAAAATATATTATAAAATATTAGCCAGTGAAACTTTAGGGAATGTATCTCACATCAGTTAGTCATGTCATAATTTTATGCCTGTTTTTTGCTCCTGCCATAAATGTGAAATATGTAAGCAATTCTTCTGGTGATTTTGCTGCTCTTTCCCAAGTGTACTTGGGTTGAACAACAAGGACCAGTATTAGGATCAAGGATCAAAGCCAAATATGTATCATCACAGAGTACAAAAACATCAGAAAAAACTTTTTGGTCAAAACCAGGATAGCTGAGATATAAAAAGATGATCATGGCAAAATAGAAAACAGCTCAATAGCAATGAAGAAGAGCTGTTGAGGAGTATCAGGCAAAATGAAGGAATGCACAGAGATCAGAATTCAAAAAGGTGAGAAGGTCTTACAGGGAGATCAGACAGAAAGTTTCCTGAAGGAACAAACAACCACTATAAAAAGTTACAAATGAAATTAACCTCAAGCATGATACATAGCCAGACCTTGGGAAGGGAAAATAAAATTATTGAAGAAGTTAAGAGGGAGAAATGGAACTTATGTTCCAGACATTACCATGAATAGATATCCCAACATCACGCTACCAACCTTTTGCAATCCTGTATTATTTAACTACACTAATTTTAACAACATAAACAACAGGGCCGTTCAAATATTCAGCAGCAATACTATGCATCAACATAGATATGGCTTAGTAATTGGATCGAAAAACTGTCAATGGCAGGAAGGAATAAACAGAGAGTCGTTTAAGGAAGGAGACAACTATATGGGGCTAGAAATGGAACTATAAGACAGGTGAATTGTTTACAGAATGTCCTTCTAGGACAGTGGTTCTCAACCTTTTTAATGCCGCGACCCCCAACCAGTCGTACGTCAAGGACTAAACCGGTCGTAAGTCGAGGACTAAACCGGTCGTAAGTCGAGGACTAAACCGGTCGTAAGTCGAGGACTTTCCCTGCCCGGGAGCGCCGCACATGCGTGGTTCCGCCCCCTGCGCCGGCCGAGGCGTAGCTGGCAAGGGCAGAGACGGAGCAGGCCGACCACCAGCTGGCCCAGCCCAAGGGAGGTAAGGCATCCGCCGGAAAAGGGGAAAAAATGCTTGGCGACCCCCGTGAAATGGTCGATCGACCCCAAATGGGGTCGCGACCCATAGGTTGAGAACCGCTGTTCTAGGAAAATGGACAGAAACTTACGCAGAGAAGGTCAGCAAATGATTTAGAGACACAGATGGGGAAAAGGCTAGCACTTACTGCTGTTGGATCTTTTTTATGTAGCTGAGCAGCTGTAAGTTGCAGGAAGCCACCAGGGTATCTACAATGCAAAATGGCAGCCAAAGTTCATTTAGCTATAGGCAAAAGTGAATGTGCATAAGAATGTGGTCAATAAAAAGAGGGCTTGGAAAACAATGCCCTCAGCCTATCTTCCTTGAGCTATATTCTTCCAGATTTTGTTGACTGTTTAAGCCTCTTCTTGCCTCTACTCCCATTCCTTATCCAGTACTATCTTATGTATTTATTTAGTGCTGGCAGGCTGCCTTGAGATTGACACAACAATAACTATTAAGTTCACAATCTAGCATTGAATTCATATAGTCCTTGCTTAACAATGCTTACTATGACCAGAAACTCTATCATTAGTGACATAGTAAAAAACAACATGTAAATGTGCTGCTTACTTATGGCAGTTCCAACAGTCTCAGTTGCCGTCATTAAACAAGGACCTCAAAACTTGTGATTTCCTGCTAGCTTTCCCACTGACTTTGCTTTCAGAAGCCAGTGGGAAAGTTGCAAATTGTGGTCACGTGACCATGGGACACTGCAATATTGTAACTGCAAGTTGGGTGCTAGGCACCCAGATCACAATCACATGGCCACAGGGATGCTGCAGTGGACACAAATATGAGGACTAGTCATAACTACAACTTGTTCAGCGCAATTTGTTCAGTGTACATTCAAACGATCGCTGAATGAGTGTTTGTTAAAAGTAGAAACTCATGTACTTGGAAATTATAAAAGCAATGTCAAAGTAATTTACAATTATGTTATCCTTTGGAAACATTCATTTTGTAGATACAAGATTATGGAAACTTACCCAGTATGTGATGAGTACACCTTCTGCTCCCATTTGTTTCCAGAAAAAGCAACATGCCTTGTGTTAATAATGACGACATGGTCCCCAAGGTCACCTAATCATTTTTAAAAAATATTTCTCAGTTAATAAGATTGCCTCTGATCAAAAGGTCGGATTATATACAACAACATTAAGTGGAGGATCCAATCTGTGTCAGTCACCGGGACCAGAGGTTTTGTCCAGCCCATCTTCAGGGAACTTCTCTCTAATCCGAAAGCTTGGAAAACAAAAATCTCTGGTCCCGGTGACTGGCACAGAGTGAATCCTGCAGCATTATCCTGGGACATGTATATTCGCCTTCATTAGTAACATTAAGTGGCTCCAACGCAGAATAATATAAATCACAAATCCCTTGAAACATTCATTTTAATGGAGTCCATTAATGCATTTGAAAATAAATCAAATGGTTAGTAAATAAAGCCACTGCAATGTGATGTGCAATGTATTGTCAGAAATTACTCACTCTTAGAGGCACCTATATGGGGTTGAATTTTGATCTAAAAATATCTGAATATTAAAAAAGTGTTTCAGTTCACCAACACCATTACCTGCAAATCATGTTTGGCCCTCTATATAATATATATGTATGCTAAGGCTTAGTAGGCTTTCCGTTAAAAATAATCCAGAACTTGAATATAGTAAAATGAGCCATACAAAATTAAAACCATTCAAATACAAAGTTAAACAAGACAGTCATGAAATACCTCAGAAAAAGCTTACTAGATGTCCTTGGGAACATCTCAAAAGTCTCAAATGACCAGGTAACTTGTAATATTTGTATATTGTTTGTATATTTTATCATATTGCTCGGAGTTACTTTGAACCATGATGGGCAGCAAATAAATTTAATAATAAAAAATAGATCATTAGTTCATGCCAAAATCCAATTAAATCTGGAGCCCACCTTAATGGGATTATGCATATATTATTTCAGCCCAGATATTATGTGTGGTCTTGCCTGAAATCTCAAAAGAATATTATAATCCTGAAAATATTATTTTGAAAATAAACACAATAATTTTAGCAACAGGAATCTTTTCAGATTCCATTACTTGTAATCATTACTATATATTCAACAAACCACCTACTCAATTTGTTGTCAAGAATTAAACCATAGTGTAAGCAATATCTCAATAACTCACTTTGTTATTACAGTGGAGTAAAATGAGTTACTGCAAATCCCCAGATACTAATAGATCTAGTTTCAGCTGTGTTTATTCACTCTCTCTTCCTAATTTAGAACAGGAAAATAAATCAGTACTGATGTAGTACATTTGTTTCAATCCCGAACAAAACTTACTCAGTGCATGGTATATCGGCTTATGCTTTCCCTCCAGACGGACACTTGCAATGGCTGCAAGTTTTCCTGGCGGTTGCATCCATCCATCTAAAAGGTACCAGGTTCGAGCAAATGTAGCCCATTGCTTAAAGAAATAGTAGATGTGTAAAATAAATGGCAACATACTATCTTGGATGCAAAAAAAAAAAAAAGATATTTGCCATTCCAATGCCAGGTCCAATGCTAATTCTACCTGGATAATTGAAGACAAATGAACTTAACTTTGTGAAAGATCAATCCTATATCTTTTCTTAGTAGATAATAGGTGTGCCTGATATCAGTGGCCTTTAAGTAGTATTGCAGTAATAATAGTAATGATAATAATTTATTAAATTTATAAGCTGTCTCCCAATGACTCTGGAGTCTGCAGCAAGAACAGCAATGATCTGGAAACCTCTTAAGGACTAACAAAATGCTCACACCATCCATCTTTCCTAGATTCGGTATACATAAAAAAGCTCAGCCATTGGCTAGTTGTTAATAATAATAATAATAATAATAATAATAAACATTTATTTGTTGCATCATCCTCATTAATTTACATTTATTTGTTGCTTCCAAAGTCATGAGCCACTTATTCCAGCTACCAAGTCAGAGTCCAGCTGCGGGGTTTCATTGCTTTTAAGCCAGTATTTCTCAACCTCTGCTTTTAAAGAGATGCGGACTTCAACTCCCAGAATTCCCCAGCCAGCCATGTTATTTGGGGAACTCTGGGAGTTGGAGTCCACTCCTTTTAGAGTGGCTAAGGTTGAGAAAACATCACTTTAAGCCACCTAAAAACTCCCTCCGGACCCTCACGTGTCTGGAAACCATCCGGCCACCCATTACTCTTTACCCCTAGACCCGTAAGCGAGAGGCCCAAAGCTCTAAGGCAGTGTTTCTCAACCTTGACAATTTTAAGGCATGTGGACTTCAACTCCCAGAATTCCACAGCCAGCAATGCTGGCTGTGGAATTCTG